CCAACCCAAACCATTCTGTGATTCTACGATCTTTTTTCTGTTCTCGGTTCTGTACTTCCAAGGATTTATTTTCCTGGACTGCAGAAATAACAAGGTGAAGTCATAGTCAGTGATCATTTGTAGTATCCAAGGAAGGAAACTTTAGGGGCTGCTCTTGGAGGTTTTATATTCACTGTGAGGCCTGATGCACAGACACAACTTTGATAACTTTTGTTGCTGATACTTTGAGGTGGAAGGGTTGTTTTTCTTCCTTTTTTTTTTTTTTTAAAAAAAAAATGACTGAAACATCTTGTATTTTTATCTTTAGACTACAGGAATTGCATTACCACTTCTGAAACGATGAGGTTCTAGCTTAAATTTTAGCTGGAGTAGTAGGAGAAAACATACTTTTATCCAGTTGGTATACTTTGTCTACTTTAAGGCTAGACACTATGGTATAAAAGGTATGACCGAAAGTTCGTTGCTACTGTTTTATCAGACCATAAGGCTAGTTTTTTGATGTTTTAATGAATATGGTTATTGAATCAGACTGGTGAATAATGTTTTTTAAAAATAGACTATAGGACTGTGTCCTGGAACTTTATTGGAAGATGCAAAGACTCTTGTGAAGGACTACTGAAAGTATTTGTTAAAGAGAAGCTTCCTTCTCGGGATGTTCTTAATTATTTACAGTTTTCTTGATGTACAAGTAATATAAACTTACTAAATTTATTTTTTTTAATTGTCTACTGTAAATCCACTATCCAAATTCAGGTGTAGCCTCATTTTATAGGACTAAACTGGATGAAGATAAGATGCGCTGATTTCCACTGAAATCTTTGCATGTGATCCTCCTTCTCTTCATGCAGCCAAAACTCATCTAAAGTTTCATTATTTCCCCACTCAATTGCCATAAGAGGTTGAGACTGTAGTGTGGCTAGCCTAAAAGTGGCATAGGCTGAGGAAGCAGAGATCAGACTTCTGCATTCTGAAGCTGTTGTGATCACAGCTGCTGGGGCCTGAATCCCTAACTGCTGAGACTTTGTTCCTCTGCTGGCAAAGTTTCTGGAAACCTGCTGACAGCAAACAGATTGCACGTACTCTGGGGCATCTTGGTTTCAACCTGTTGATCCAGGTCTGTTTAGGATGAGCCTATATATTAAAATTCAGAGGGGTAGGGACAGGATCATTCGTTCTTCTGAATGGAAGACTGCACCAAAATAGTACATCTGTGAAATTAAGAGATGCTGTACTTGATTCCCTGTTTAACTGTAATTGACCCTCTTGTGTGTGGGCAGGATGATGTAATCGGTAATTACATGATCCCATGCAGTTATTTCCACAGTATGCCCATTTTGCTTGGTGCACGGAATGGGTGGGTGGTATTAATTGAACAAACAGCTATATTCACTCTATTATTTTTCTTTCCCTGCCCCTGAATTCTCTCTGTTTTCTTTCTTTGAGTGGCCTCTGTGCCTTTTTTTACTGCATGCTATCTGAATCCTTCCAAATACAAAATTCGTAAATTTTCCCTTGGGAATTTTGATGGTGCTCATTATTTTGGTGTGTCTATTTCAGAAAATTTAAGGTAGTCACAGCTTTATAGCATTATAGATGAGGTTTGCTTATATCCCCATTTCACAGGCACAGCACTGAAGTTTCAAGAGTGTTGGGTCAAAACCACACTGACTTTGTGTATGTGCTGGCTGTTGTCAGATAGTTCTGAATTTTATAAAGCACAGTGAGTTCATGAAGAACAGATTTCTGATTTTGCAATTTTCTTTGTCTATCCTACTGGTTACAAATCCCACGTTGATAAAGACACAGCTGATCATCCCTAGTGGAAAGCTGGGTATGGGAGACAGGATTAACATAGGTTTTGTGCCGAAAAGCAGAGCTAAGGTTCCGTTTACAAGGACGGTGTTTAGCAGTCTGGAAAAGGGAAAGACATGGGACGCTTAATTTACTACAGACTAGCCAAATCAGTAGGTCATGCCAGGCTCCTGAAGCCTAACTTCCTTCCTCCTACGGTTGTGAGGATGTGTTCTACACCACGGAGCTAGAATTCAGGTCATAAAACCAGCTTGCTGTTTCCTAAATTTCCATGCTGTTAGTATTAAAGGTAAAGGGGAGTTGCCTTTAAATTATAAGGTAGATTTGCAACATAAGTGAGGCCCTAAAATCAACAATGTGTTTAATTTGACCTTGTAACTCAATTTGCAATAATATTCCTTGATATCCAAGTATGGATTCATGTTTATGCTCTGAACATCATACAGACAAGTAGTTTTACTGAAGCTAATTTTTACCCATGTTAGTATTTTAGTTTATATAAATGGAAGATGATTCCCTTTCTGCAGTTTTTTAACGCTTTTTCTGAAAGATGTGCTTCATATCCAAACTCACTGTATGTATTTTTTTATTTGACAGTAAATGCCATTATGATGTCAATATTATTCTTCACAATAGATTCTGATAAATTTTCTGAAAAGTGATAGCTATTTAAAATACAGATTTAGGATAATTTTTTTTTTCATTACAACTGCAACTCCTCATCACTAACTTTACTTACCAACAAAATTAAGATCACTCATGGTAAACTAAACAAACCCCGGTAAAGCTGGTGTAGAGATGATTCTTGGGACTGACAATTAGGGTGCTTGACGTTCATTTGACCACCAGAATGTCTGCATACTCAAAAATCTGTTAAACAAGTTAATTTAATGTAACTTTGCACATGTTGTCATTCAGCTTCGTGCTCCCTGTGGGATGGTTTAAGAGCAGCTTTTCCGAGACCATTTTGAATGCTGCATAAGAGGGAGAGAAGATCGCCAGCGTCACAGTGCCAATTCTGAATATTATTTGGCTGATCATATGATTTCTTTTTAGATATCCTAGTAGTTCTTTTAGTACAACTTGGTTCATTGTTCTTTTGCTTTCAAAACAGGAGAAACTAGGTCAGTAGGCTATCAGACAAGCTGTCAGAACTAATCTGTGGTTACACTGTGTGCAGTAAAATCCCTCTGCAACACAAAGACAATAGAAGGTGCCTGATCCTTCATGGTTCTTAAGATTTAAAATTGTACCCATATAAACTATCAATTCTTACATTGTAGCAGGGTTCAAAGTCATTTTCCAGCTTTCACTTGTTTTCTCAAGCTCTCATTCCACAGCCTTGATATTTTAGTCCTTTTTTTTTTTTTTTGTATTTTTTTCTTTTAGACATCAGAACAAGAGACTAAAGGTCTTCCCAGCAAGAAGGGAATTGTGCAGTCTATAGTAGGTCAAGGCTACCACCGTAAGATAGTCCTAGCATCCCAGTCAATACAGAATGTTGTTTATAAGTAAGTATGTTTTCCTTGGGATCTTTATTTTGTTCTCGTAGCTTTCTTAAGGATACATATCTGTTTATCAGGAGTTTTTAAAACTGTCATGAAATAACTGTTCATTTTGGAATTATTAATATAGTGAAGAGAGAGGCGTGCTAAAATGCTTGATGAGTCCTAAACATCATTTGGATGCCTCCTCTTTGGTGGCCAGCAGAGGGCTTAACTGTGTATTCGTTGTAACTAAGAAGGCCATTAAAGCTTAAAATTGATTTCTCTGAACTTTATATTGCCAATTATCTAAATCTGTCCTCTTTTTCTCATTTTAAAAATACGTATTTTCAGTAATCCACTTTAGAAGAGTGCAGGAAGAATCTAGTTGGTCTGTCATGAAACTTCAGGAAGTGAAGTCAAGTAAAACAGAACTTCTTGTAATTATATAGTTGAATCTGCCCACTCTATTTGGGCACCGTGGTGTACTTCCCATCTACAGGAACAGCAAAATATGGAAGTCTTCATAAATATGTTATATTAAAACATGATTTAACTTTTTTAGGATAAAGTTTTCTCTGTATTCAGATCTTTCTGGAACTCTGTTTCTGTTTTTTAATTTAGTAGGATTGCTACTTACGGGCTAACTTCTGTGTCTCTTTAAGTGATGGGCAGTCCTCAGCAATACCTGTAGCCAGTATGGAATTTGCAGCGATTTGTCTAAGAAATGCCTTGTTGCTACTGCCAGAAGATCAGCAGGAGCCAAAGCAGGAAAATGGATCTAAAACTAGTAATCAGCTGGGGGGAAATACAGAAAACAGTGAAAGCAGTGAAGCATGCAGGTAAACAGAATTGCATATAAACTTTTCTTTTTATCCAAAGTAGTCTGTGTCTGCTACCTATCCTGTTTGGCCAGCAGAAAAAATAACGTATTTGTAAATTCTCTTTGCAGTGTTGGGATATCTAAGGAAACTTGTTAGCTGGTTATTGTTTTAACTGCTGGTATGCTAATTCAAGAATAAGTTACTGAGTTGATTGCTACCATTTCTACCAACTCTAATAAATTACAGTGAAAATCTTTTTCTTACTGGCCGTCTTATTTTCAGTGCTGCAAATGCTAGGTTTTTCCATACCCTCCTGCAGTGCATATTGGTATTTCTCTAAGTGAAGTCTCCACGTTACAGTGATTCTGTGTGTGTGCATGTGCGCCATCTACTCAATTCAATATATAAGTGTCTAGCAACTCAGTTGTAAACATTTCCTCACGATCAGATTTGACATTCATCAGCCCTAGTATGTTTTGTTGTGTTTGTCTTAGACTAGAAATGGGAAACTAGATTTAGAAGATAAGTAGGAAAGCAGCATGGAGCTAGTACTTAATAAATTGCATTTTACAAAAGAGTTAAAGAAAAATATTTTTTCTTAAAAAGCTTCAGAAAAAGTAACTTGTATACAATGTATGTCAACTGTTAAATAGCAGGAAGGTGTGTTAACTTTTTGCATTAATCCTGATGCATTCTGAACTTCCTTTTGAAGAGTAACTACTGGCTGTAGCATGCAATTTCATTCATGACCGTTTCGAGAAGCAAAGAGTTACATTAGCTGGTCTGGAAAAAGTGGTAGAACTTGTACTACTTAGAGAGTAGTAAAAAAACACGATGTTTTTGTCAGACCCAAGTACAGACAAATTTTAAGATCCATTTGTCAGCATTTACTGCACAGATACTGTGTTGCATAGGCCCAAGGTGCATCCCTGTATATTCTGAGGTTGCCTGGGCATAGACGAGGGCAGGCAGTCGGTGGCTGCTACTGCTGCAACAATATTTGAAAGCTGTTCTCTGGAACTCTTTTTTTTTTCCCAAGGATAGTCTTTCCTGTCAAGTGACCAAATGATTTATAGAAAGTTTCTTTCTTTTTTTCGTTACTGGGGTTGGAGGTTGTGAACTAATTTCCCCTGGCAAGCTGTATACAGCCCATTGAGGTGACGCTTCTGTGGTTTAAATGAGACTTCAATTTTAAGCTTACGGGGCCCACTAAGGGCCAGTGATGAAGAGAAAATGGTGGCACTTACTCAGACAAGACCCCCTTTTTTGTTTTGGTTTGGATTTTTTTTTAGTTTGTTCTTGTAGGAGTGAGGAAAGGAAAACATGCCCTGTACGGGAAGATCCTTCGCTACCTTCCACTTACAAAACCAGATGCTTCTTCAGAAAAAAAAAAAAAAAAATTAAAAAAGACTCCCTCATATCTCGCAGTGGTCGTTTGTTGATTTCAAAATATCGAGCAACAAAGCAGGCTGTTCTTGAATTTGTGTGTCACATTCTGAAAGGTTTTCTGAGGATTTGTTCCTTCTGACAAGGGATCCTCTGTGAGAGAACAGTGAAACGTATAAGGCATTTGAAGAAAATCACACTAATTGAACAGGATGGTTTTGAAGCAAATCCCACTAATAGAGCAGGCTGACTCTGAGGCAGATTCTTCTCTTATTCACATGAAAACAGTGAATACTTTCAGTGGTTAATGGTATTTTTTTAATCTAATTGTTTGCAAAGGCATGAAGTATATACATTACAACAGTATGAGTACAGGTTTCTGTGGAGTCTTTTTCTATCTGTTTTGAAGATTTAAGTTGGAATTATCTCACCTGTTTGTAATAAACAGATATAAAAATACATGAATTAAAAAGCTCTTGTTAAGTGGACAGACTCAGTTTCAATTCTGATATTTTTTTAATCTATTTCTAAACCTTAGTGTCTGTCTCTGCCAAGGCGCAGCTGTTAGCCTTCTCTTCAGTTCTCATTCCAGAAGGAGGTTCTTTCAGCTTATTGGAGAGCAAAGTTGCATACTTCTTAAATAGAGCGAATACTTGCTCCCCCCAAAATGCCAAGCATAATTTTAAGTGGAATTTTATTTGAAAAAAAAAAAAAAAGACATTTTGAAATAATATAAAAATAAAGGGTAGCTAGAAGTCTAAAGGAAGCTGTAGCACTTTGTTATATAATTAGTTTTTAAGATGTCTAGGGAGATAACTAGTTTACTGCTTTTCTTGCAGGCTAGAAGAAGAGAGGCTACAAATGCAGCAAGTTCTGCATCTCTCCAGTTTAAAGTTCTTGTCCTACACCAAACTTCAAAAATAGCTCGAGGCTGTGGAGAATTGTGTGGGTTGTTTGGTCTGTCAGTCAAATCCTTCCTAGTAAATGTCCCCCTTCCTCCTCCTCTAACAAAACGGTTAGGATAAGAGCACGTGCCTCAATTTTTGCATAGCTTCATTTCCCTGGTTTTTAGGCTATAGAATTTTTGCTGTCTTTTAAATTGAGTGAATAAATAGCAATGCTTATTACACTGAGAATTTATTAATTAATTATTTATAATCACTCCCTATAATTAATACACTGTTTTTATTCTAGCAATAAAAGTCATGAAGGGGATAAATTCATTGCAGCTCCACCTTCTTCGCCTTTGAAGAAACAGGAATTAGAAAATTTAAGGCAAGTAAATAATATAAAATATTCATTAAATGAGCCCCCTTTTAAACTGTGCTGATTCTGGAGTCATTGCTAGCTTCTTTAGGCACTTGCAAAGTTGAACTGTGACTGTTAATCTAAGGATGCCTTTTTTCAAATGCGTGTGCTTCCTTTCTTCTGGGCTTTGAGTCCGCACAAATAGAAACCATCTAGAATTTCAGTTCAGAAGGTAGATCAGTCTGTTTGATCCCACCATTATAGGCTTGGCATTATGTATTGGGCAAAACTTAAAAAAAAAAAAAAAAAAAAAAATCAAGTCCCATAGACGACAAAGCTAAAAACCTAACAATGGCTATTGTGACTGGTGGAAGGGGTGGAAATTACTGTGTGGTACCTTTTCCCTTTAGGGCCTTGGTAAGGCTAGTTTGGAATTCAGCCCCCACAGCATTATATGCTTGTTGAATGGGGAAAAAAAATGAAAGAGGTAAAAGCAGCTGTGCTGCTTTCAAATGAGAACAGTTCTCCTTTCAGCAAGAGTAAATCCTTAGTTTGCATAAAATAGAAAGAAAAAATGCCTCTCTCCAGGCATTTGACTTCCTCACCATGGAAGAACATAGGTAAAATTTGACTGTAGACTTTTTTTTTTTGTGTATGTGTGTTCTTAAAGATCCTTAAACTACTTGTTCGTCAGTCTTGAGTGCTCTCCAAACAGAGTAACTCTCATGTGTCTAAAGAAGTATCATGTTATCTGGAACCTCTTTACTTTCCCCCAACAAGATTATAATTTGCTGGCAATGTTAATTATTTCAGGTGGCTGCCAGCCCGTTGAAAAATCTCTCTTACTATAAAGCTTGTACCTGTTTAGAAAAAAGAAATCTGTTTTCAGTTTCCATTATGGACAAAGCATACAGTAATTTCCCACTTAAACTCCTAGGTAAACACTCTGTTCCAGCCTAACCCCAGGTAAGCTGTGTTTTATAATGACCAGCTTAACCTTTACTTTGCTCCACTATGTGCAGCAAATCTACTTGTATTCATTTAAAAGCAATTTAGCAAGAATCTGTGAGGAGATATTACCGAGACTTTGCTTATTTATTCTGAAGAGGTACAAGAGTATGCTATTCAAAATAGAAAGCAGTGGATTAAAAACAGTGATGTGGGTTGGTTGTGGGGTTTGTGTTTTTTGTTGTTTGGTTTTTTTTTTTTTCCTCCTGAGTGTTGAAAATGTGGTTGCCACATGTCAAAATTACATGGTGTCACACTGATTTTTATTTTTTTTTTTCATACATAGTCTTTTCTTTCACAATCAGCTGTTGTTATCTACTGATAAAACCTGACAACATGTCAGGAAAAACCTATCAGTTTAGCAAGAATTATACTGCTTCTGGTACAGAACATCGTATAAGGAAAGGAAAAGCATTGATTTATTTCTTTGCAATACTTGCTTTGGTGCTTAAATCCAGAGCACTAGACATCTCTAGTCTATTTCTAAGTTTCTGCAGATAGCTGTGAAAAGCAAAATGTTGGTATAACACCCAAATGTTAGTATATTCCTGTAGTCTTGCTTGCTAAGGAGCTAAGTGAAAAAATGAACATTCTTGTCTAGTCAGGGAAAATTAAGAAAAAAAAAAAATTCTGAATGTTGGCAAGGATTTTCCTGAGGAATAGGTGTTTATTTAATTCAGTTTTTCCCTATTAAGTCACTGGATTGAAAAACCTGTGTTGCTTCTAGAACTGAAATGGGCAACTTAAATGCCTTTTTTTGCATGATTTTGTACAGTTGCACATCCTGATAAGAGTTTAAAATGACTGACTGACTTTGCCTCTAAATAGTTCTTAAAAATCAAAAACCATCTAGAAAAGGCTTATGTGCTTATTTGTGCACAAATTAGTTGAGCAGACTGTTCTCATAATAAGCAGTAATTCAATTCCAAGGTTTCAAAACAAGCAGAAGTCTGAGGACACCAAACGTTGCTAAGAATTTATGCATAGGAAGTAGAAACTCCAGATTTTTCTTCTGAGTTTCTTCTAAAGAGTTCTGCTGCTCACTGCTTCTTATCCTCTGAGAAGCCAAATCCCTTGCTTTCCTCTCAGCTGTGATATGTTCCAGCATGGCAGAACAACCCAGCAGTTAGGGATACGTCATGAATGAAGGAGTTCTGGTAGACCACAGGGCTACATTTGGGAAATTCTTGGATTTTATTGTAAAAGTTGAGATGGATAGCAACAGACCTTGTAGCCTTTTTGTGCCTAGGTTGAACAACTTTGTGTGAGAATGTTAATTTTCCTCTTCAAATCACCTAGAGATGAAGGAATAGTTTGATCACTTGCTTTGTCCTGCATAGATTTGAACTGCAAGCCCTTGGTATAAGGCATGTGATCCAATTTTACCCTTTTTTTCCGTTCTCTTGAGTCTTCCATTGGCCATCTCCAGTCCATCATTATGCTTTATTTATTTTATTTACTTTGGTATTTTTGAAGTGTGCATACCCTAATACTCTATGTGGTATTCCAGGAGGATCACTGACATTGCTGATAATTTCACAGGTCATACTGTAAGGACCACCATTGCCCACCAATGTACGTTGTCTCTTCTCCACACCTACCCAGTTTTGCCTCATTTACCCACTTAAAGGTTGCAGTGGTCTGTTTGGCTCTGTCACGATACTGGAGGTTTACAATGATTATCACCCGTACCTGTTTCACGCTCTTCTTCCTCACTCTCGGACACTGCATAGTTCTCCCCCATCGCCCCTTTGCTGGTGCTGAACTTCCCCATTGAGTAAGCACCGTCTGCATTCTGTATTTAATGTTTTGGATTGTTTTGCCTGTGTTGAAACATAAAAAGTAGATAGTTTATATCCACTCTTGTGCTTAGCTAGCTATATGAAATTATTTCAGATTAGTGATGTTCTCTAAATGGTTAGAAGTGCCTTTTTGGTGCCTTCATAGTAAGTTTTGAAGAACTGGATTTGTTCTGGCTCACCCTTTGCCCGAGAAGCCAAGTCAGATGTGGAGTTTGGGTTCTGTAAATTTGCAGTCATGTGGGCTGACAAATCGTGTTGCCTAGACGTACACAAGAGGCTGTTTGACATAATCTGGCAGTTTAAAAAAAACATTTTTCTTTGTCCTAGTGCAAAGGCAGTTTTCTTTAGGGCATGCGAAGGCTCAGTGATGCTGGAAGTCTGTCGTGCTCAAAGGCGACCTGTGGAGTTTTGTCAGAATCCTGACCGGGGTGAAAAACTAGTTTGTCTTTTCCCTTGTGGTGCAATTCTTCTGCTCCGGTTAGCTGTCAGGTCTCCTGAGCGTTTGGTTTAGCCAGCTCAACAATGGATCCAAGTGCGCAAGAAGAGTACTGCAGGGAAGAAAACCTGAATGTTTTCCTTTTCTTTAGATGGCTGGTGCTAAAAAATATTGCTGGCTGTTACGTGGCTTAAACAGTGATGAGTCCTTAGAGCAAAGGAGTAGGTTTCAGTTTTGCTGGACTTACCTGTTGTGTGGTTGGAGTGTGACACATGTTTGAATTTACACTTTAGGAAATAAAAATAGCTTTTAAAAAGTTGTGGGAAACAGAAGACACATGTTGATGTGAACGGCAGTAGCAACTAACTCTGCAGGCCTTGACTTGTGACTAAGGTACTTAGCTAGTGGCGCTTGGCATCTCTGCTGGTTTAAAAGCTGTGCTTCCTTGAGTCAGGGACAAAAAGAGGCTAGTTAGAAGCAGGCTGTTATTGCAGAGATATTCCCCCACACACCTCCCCATTCCCTCCCCCTCCCCAGTTGCAACCTTTCAGAAATATTTTAGGTTTGGGACTTGAGCTGGGGAAGCTTTCCTCTCCCTCTCTCAAGCTTTTGTATGTGTTCAGATTTGATGTGACATATGGGCATGGTGGAGAGGAAGTGGGGGGTAGGGAGAAACACTGGAGAAGTTTCTTACCCTGCTTGTGCATAATTAAGGAGCATGCCTCCTGGGAAAGGAGAATAATGGCACCCCAGGTCCTGCCACAAATTACATGACTTACTGCTGGACCGAAAGTGGGCTTGACAGTTGCCAGAAGGTTGATGCAGTAATAGCCCATGCACTGGCGGGAGAGTTGAGGGCTCCCCTCCCATTGCTCCCAACATGAGACCCCGCTAAGAGGATCTGCTCTTCCTTCCTGGAGAAGGACAGAGTCCATGCTTACAGCAAGGCATCAGGGGCAGAGGCTTGTGCTCAGAGGACAAGGCAGCCTGCACTGAATGATGTCTTACGAAGTGGAAAATATCCCCAAGTGCCGTGTTTGAGGAGGGGGAGTGAGTTATTACAAAATGTGAAGCTTGGCCTAATGATGGCATCCTGACATGGGGTTTTTGTTTGAAGATGGAAAATGCGAGTAGTTCAGATTTCATTACAGGAACTGTCAGAGACTTTGTGGTTTTGGAAAGATAAGAAAGTCTGTGACAGCAACAAAATGCCACAGATCAATCAGAGTCTTGGCAGTGGGTTACAACTCAGTTGAACCCCAAACTGGAAATGCCAAATTCTCCAGTGTTTATTGTCTCCCTGTGTGCAAACAGTACAAGTACAGTACAAGAGTGAAACATGGTACAACTTAATGGATTGCTACTACATGTCTGTAGATTGTACGTTATGGAAATCTACCCATCTGCTACCCTTTGCTGTGGCAGAAGGGGAGGGCAGGTAAGTACAAATGAGAGCCCAAGGCAAAACGAATAAAAAGAGGGAGAGAAACGGAAACTGTCCATGAGAAAAACTATGCATGTGGTCAGGTCAGTCTTTTTTTAATCTCTTACTTATGGTCAAACTCCAAAATCTTCCTGAGCACACTGTGGTGGTCCTCTGTTTATACTGGTAGAACACCAGGTATGTGTCTCCGAATTCAGAGAATGCGATTGAGGCCATAGATAACAAAACACTAGCTCCTTCATAGTCTGACGGAATGACATTATTGAAAGTTTATGATTTATTTCTTCAGCACTTAATAAGAAAGAAATTCAACAGCTGCATTTGGAATCACAGCATTCTCCATTTAACATACTGGCTTTCCCCCCCTCCCTTTGTTCTTTTTTTTTTTTTCCCTTTTTTTCTTTTTCCCTCCAGGTGCTCAATACTTGCGTGTAGTGCTTACGTGGCTCTGGCTTTGGGTGATAACCTTATGGCATTGAATCACGCAGATAAACTTCTTCAGCAACCAAAGCTGTCAGGGTCTCTTAAGTAAGTCTGATGTGGTCATTTCTTCTTTCTCAGCCCTGCTTTTTGCTGGAGAGTTCTGAATTGAAGCTTCCAATGTCTGTAGCTGCTTGCCAATTCTCTATCTGATGCAAAGAATTGCTTGGCCCGCTCCTGTTCTTGTTGAAGCCCTGACTAAATGTTCATTGACACGCAGGAACGTGAGTCCCCTCCTTTGTGTATGAGTTCCATGTAATTCAGAATCTATTGCTGCTTTTGTTGCTATTTGTTAATCTCCAGCGATGGGTCCCATGCAGTGGTGGGACCATCAGGTCTCTGTCCTGATTCACTGTGGGGCTGCACGTGCTTGTGTTGGCACAGCACAAGGGGCAGGAGAGAGCAGCTGGGGGTAGACAACATCACCCCAAGCCAGCATGCTGCTGAAAGTTGGCTTATGAGACTACAGCCTCAGAGTGGAAGGTTTGCTCCATCAGTAGGGGACAGATCTTGGGTGTGCAGGACTGTCACTTCACCTGCTACTGTTGCTTAAAAAGGTTCCATTCTTCAGCTTCTCTTTTTCAGTTCTCGTTTGGCACTGTTTTTTGGAAGGGTTTTCAAAGCTCATTCTCTTTCTGCTCACCTGTTCTCATACATCTCTGCAAATTCAAAAAAGGCCGCTTTAGCTCCATCCTTCTGACCTTGTTTGTGCATTTAATTCCTATGTCATACACAGGATAAAATATAGCAGAGGTTTTTTATGGTAGTAATATTTTCCAAAACTGTTAATGTACTTGCAGAAAGCAAGCTAACTTGTGCTTATTTTTATATGCGGGCAGCATATGCTAAAATGGTTCATGCCAATTAAATTCTTTGGCTCCCATGCCTCAGACTACTGCAGAAGCTCCTCTTTTTGCACAGTCATTGCATAAGCGAAATTTTAGAGGAGTTAGCAAGGTAACACATAATTTTGTGAAGGCAGCGTTACCATTGTGTCATGCAAGAAAAGCTAGACGACAGGTTTTTTGCAAAGATAGAGCGAGCCATGTATCTTGGTCCCAGGAAACAAAGCTTTTGTGCAGATTGGGAATATTGAACTGTTCCTGTTTTCTTAAGTGAAATAAATTGCAAGTAGAAAGTTGTTTGCTGTTTCACATCTGAAGTGCAGAAGTTCTTTTGGATGATTGCCTGATATTTTACCTGATGTTTTGTAATTCATTACAACCAACTATACAGCCAGTTTAAAGCGTACTGCATAGAGCTGCATAGAACAAGCGTGAACTTTTTTGCTCAACTTTTGTTTCAGATTAAATATTTGCAAACTAACTAGGCTCTTGATCGACAGGATTCCCTCTGTCCGAAGTTGAAAAGGAAAGCTGCTGATTAGCTGAGCTGAATGACCAGTGTTGAAACCTCAGACTTCCTTAATTCTTTTGCAAAACCTGCAGCTGGAAGGGTGTTTGTCCTCCATGGACAGGCCCATGTAGTTGCTGCCCTTAGAAATGCAGCTATCTTACAGAATTAGTTTGATTTATTTTTATTTTTATTTTTTTTTAATTGAACATAAAGTCACTTAACACCTCAAATTACAGATGTATCTGTGTCCTAGGGTGTTTTTGTAAGGATTCTTTTTTTAATTCTCTGAGATAAAGCCATACCAAGGTACTGTCTTTCTGGAATGGCAGCTCCTGTGCATGAATGGTCATTACTCAGGTGTAGATTTTTTCACCACAGAAGTGCCTAAAAGCAGTAAATGGCAGAACTGGGTATTACGACAATACTTTATAAGCAAGCGAACTTCCATGCAAGTGTTTCCAGTAGTAGTTTTCATGTGTTTTCATTGATTGTCTTGCGTAACAAATTGTGGGGGTGGTTACGCTGACATTTGTGCCTAACCCTTTGCTGTTGCAGGTTTCTTGGGCATTTGTATGCAGCAGAAGCTCTCATCTCTCTAGACAGAATATCTGATGCCATCACTCACTTGAACCCCGAGAATGTCACTGATGTTTCCCTCGGGATCTCTTCAAATGAGCAGGATCAAGGTTAATGAACCCGCACTTCATTAGAACTAGTTACGCTTTCAGCTGCCTTCCTGCTGTATCTTTCTACACAAATACAATGATGATTAAGACATCTTGCTTTAAGACCGTAGGCTGTTTGGGGTTTTTTTGTTTGTGGTGGTGGTGTGGTTTTGTTTTCTGGCTTTAGTTTCTACTTTGTGTTTGGTTTGTCTTTTGCACGTTTGTCATTCCTTTGACAGTTAATTATGAAATATAAATAGAACTATCTGGTGTAGCATTCTGGCTTGTTTAAAGGTAACTTTTGAAAGCTGCTTTTGTTAAATGAGCAGTTATGGTTAAGCTCGGGCTTTCATACCTTCTCTTCCAGCTTTTTACTCTCTAACCCAGGCTTTGGAGTACCAGGGAAGTTTACTTATTGCATTTAGCGAGAGATAGGAGTGGGGAGAACTTAGTTAATCTGTATCTTAGTATTCTTGCAGTGCTTCCAGTTGGGAGCGTGTATTCTGTAACAGAAAAATACGTCAGAGCCCATCTGTATAGTGAAATCTACAGCAGCTCTGATTTCAATTACATGTCTGCAGTTTAAACTTCACTGTACTCCTCTGCAAATCTAAAAGCAAGACAGTAAAGATAGGAAGTATTAAGTGACATAAACTCTTGAGCAAACTGATGTGGTTTTCCTCTTTAATGTCAGACTGTGAAGAAAGAAGCAAATTTGTGTCTTTGTATTATTTTTGTAATAAGCTTTAAAAAAGCTCACGGAACATGATGGATTTTTGTGGTTTGTTTTTATATTTGCAGGGTCTGATAAAGGAGAGAATGAGGCAATGGAATCTTGTAAGTACCAGCCACCACATTCAGCAGAGTACTGGAACTTACTTGGCCAGTTTGAAATAAAAGTGTAAGAAAAAAATATTTTTTTTTTTAATTGCAGCTGGCAAGCAGACCCCACAGTGTTACCCCAGTTCGGTCACATCTGCGCGAACAATGATGTTGTTTAACCTTGGGAGTGCTTACTGTTTGAGGAGTGAATATGACAAAGCTCGAAAGTGTCTTCATCAGGTATGAAAAACAAATCTCAAGACAGCTTTACGGACAAATGTACTTCCTTCGAGGTGCCATTTAGATCACAGCAAATCCTGCTGATTTCATAGCCCAGGTTTATTTGTGGACTGTGCTGAGACGGTGGCTCTCTGCTGTCTTTATAAACCAATCTCTATTAATAACGTAAAATGAAAGATTCCAAATTTCTTTCTTGTGTAAATAGTTCAATACCACTATGGGAAGCTTTTTTTTTTGCCCTAGATCGTATCAAAACAGTGCAATATGACTAGGAAGCCTTTTCACTTTTTCTCCATTTGGTTGAATTTGGTTTTGGGCTTTTTTTTTTTTAATGGTCCAATAGTAGTTGTTATATTTCAGAGGAGAAAGTTCTTGAGGGCCCTGAGTTTACTTCTCTCTAATTGGTTAATAACTTGCCATCCAACTTTAGGGCAGTGAGAACAAACTGCAGTTCTGCTGGAGGTGTATGTTCCTTGCCTGCTTCTTGTCCCAGGCATTCTCAAGTGCTACTTTTGAAACTCTGTCTTCATTTAGCCTGTGTCATTGGGTCTTACGTATGGCTGGGACCCACCTCTTTCAACGATGATGTTTGTCTCTTTTTGCAGCCATTCCTGTCTGTCAGGAAGGAATGCACTCAAATGCATTGTTGAGCTGCAAACTGAAACAGCGCTCTTCTAGATTACTTCGTAGTAGTTGTGTAGGTGAAGAGGTTCAAATTCTCTGAGGTTCTCTACTGCTTAAGGCAGTTGTCTTGCTAGTTTTCCTCCTGAGGCTTCTTAGGATTGGGCAGGTGTCTGTGCTTGGGCTCTGTAGCACGTGTGTAAAGCCCAAAGAAGTGAAAGGCCATCTGTGGACGTAAAGTATACTAGATCTCTGCATCCACAATAACTTCATTGACTTCATAGCTGAAAAATATTTGTATATGGAGAGCTAATGAACCATCCTTGTTAACTTTGTATTCTGAACTTTGGAGCAGCGGAGGTTGCCGCCTTCACCTGTCATCTCGCCAGGAAACCACAGTAGATTGGCCCAAGAATTACAGATTCACATTAACATAAGCATACAGCAGATGGTCCTGCTAATTAGCGTGAAACAATTTTGCAATGCAGATAATCTTTCAGTCTCCTTGCATGCATAAACCTGATGAAGTGTATTAGTTTGAAAAAAATCTAATCTTACTTTACAAATTGTTATTTGGTCGTGTTATCTAAGGTGGCGGTAACAATCTTGTCAAGGGGCACTTTCTTTGAGCTGGATATTTCTCTTAAGCAGTTTTCCTCCGTCTTTTTCATTAAGGCTGCTTCGCTGATCCACCCCAAAGAGATCCCTCCAGAGGCGATTCTGCTGGCTGTATATCTTGAATTACAGAATGGTAAGTTTTGAAATGTTCTCTTGACCTAGGTTTGGAATATAAGGGGAGGAGGCCCGTAGTCATCATTCCTAATTGTCACGGAGTTGTGCCAGTATTTTGAATGACAATCTTTAGGCCCTGACTCCATTTTATACTGCTGTGGATCCATGTATCTGCAGCTTCCATTTCCATAGTTTATTGCCATCCTGTTCTTACACACTCCAGACTTCCTAAACATTCATCTTCTGAGCTGAAATCTATACTTTGTGCAGAAATGGGCAGTCTTGGATAGGCTCAGTAAAACCCTTGATGAAATTTATACTATAAAGAGGGTTTGAAAGCCTTTTCATTAGAAGACAACTGCAGTCCAGGTTTCCCAGAGAAGCCATGTCAAGGGCTGTGTAGCAAGTACTGCAACATAGCTTGTAATATTGATAACTCTCTTCCAAAATCCTTCCTTCTGAAGGTTCACTGTGTTTGCATGGGAGAAAAACTGTACATAATGGGAAACTGGAAAGATTGCACTTGAATTCTGCAGTGGGTTGTGGTTGTGGACCTGTGCCCCTTGGGGCTTAATACATCCTAGCGTGAAAGGTTCAGTGTGCTTGTTCCCCTTCACTTGTCTTGCATTGCCGGCAGGCAGAGGACTTGAGCATTTGTATTCAAATTGAGACTTCTACAAAGCTTTCCTTACAAAGATGTTTCTAAGCTGGAATTTTGGAAACTTTTCTTTCTGCAACAAAGTAGTACAGAGCAGGAGAGAGTAGAAAGTGGGATTTATATCTCTCACCCCCTTTTAAGTATATAAACAAAAGGAGCTAAAGACATTTTTTGTTCTATAAATGGCAGGAAAAGGTGTATCTTTTCTGAAACTAAAACTTCAGTGAAAGGAAAGTATTTGATAAGAAGGAGAAATGTTTTCAGAACTTAGTGGGTTTTCTCCTACAATTTTATAGGTCTTAACTTTTAACAAAGAATAATTTTTCCATTTATGTTAGTATTTATTTGATGAGCCATGCACACAGTTGTAAATCAGATTTGTTGTTTTAAAAACATGTTTTATATACACCCTTGGCATTTGCATTACTGTCGCATTGAGGGCATCTTGTATGAGGTCTAGTCTCACTACACAGATGGGAGAGAGGAGGTGCCCTTCACGTGCTTTGGCATCTTCAAGCTCTGAGGTTAAAGCTTGATGTCTTTAGCTAAGGATTGGTAGAATCAAACAGTACTGTTGTTTCAAATTTACTTTGTCCAATACCTTCCATGTCAGCATTTCACTGACTAGAAAGACTGCTAGTGTATGTGGCCTGGGCCCAAGGCTGGCGTGTCAGCTCTGTTCAGAGAACAGTGATTCCCAAGTCATACAAAGGTACTTTTTTTAATCAAAAGTTGTCTTGTAGGTAATACACAGCTGGCACTGCAGATCATCAAGAGAAACCAGCTCCTCCCTTCTGTGAAAACACTCTCCGACATGCGGAAGAAGCCCGTGTTTCAGCCAGTCCACTCAATCCAGCCCATTCAGATGCCAGCTTTCACCACTGTTCAAAGGAAGTGAGGTTGTGCTTGAACCTGCTGCTTCTCTGCCCATGAGGGCTTGGGATTTTGTATATTTTTTTAACCTAGGACACCTGCATACCCCAACTGCTGGAGTGTGTTCATTTATGTAAATTTTTAATAAAACAAGTAAATAAAAATGCATGCCTGGAGGTGTTTGTAAGGGTTATTTTATAAAGGAAGAGAGGTTGGTCGTTGTTTTGAAGGTGAGTGGCAGTTTACTTACCAAAAATAAGTCGTTAACCAAGTGTGTAATTCTGCTCTTTTTGAAGAGAATATAGGGGAGGGAAGTGACTGGAAGTAGAATTATCATTTACCTGAACTCCAGTCCTGCTGCATTTCTGAAATAGCAGTTGAGCTGTTGTGTTGGCTGCAGGGTTTTGATGCAGATGAGCTATGGTTTTGTATTCCTCAAAGAGGCTTTTGCCCAACTGGGCAGCTGCTGGGAACTTGCTCTGTGCTGTTGCTGAAGCTGCCCCTTCAGGCAGGGGGACAGGTGTGTGGCTGTGGGGGCAGATGCAGGTTAACAGCCTTAGCTGCAAGGAAAGGAGCTTTTTTCTGCAGGTCACAGCTGAGGGTGGAAGAGGTTTCTAGCCCCCCCCCCCATGTCCCCAGTTTCTTGTGGTCACTGCATGAAGGTTATTTTAAGTGCAAACAGCGGAGCTGTGCTGCTGGCCTGACAGAGTTAGTGGGTTGCAGGCCCTCAGAGGTTGTGGGGTAAAGACACACTAATGCCCTTAACAGCCCCCAACATTGCACTGCACTCCGGGGCTGAGCAGCAGTGACTGTCTTGTTATTAGCTTGTACAGAACTAGGGTGAGCTGCCCTTGCAAAAAGCCAGTCTGTGCCCTTTTTGAGGTGCACAGGTCAAGATGGCAGAGATTTAGCATAAGGGAGAGCGTGCTGGTGCTGAGTCTTGTGGACCGAGTGTGGCTGTTGGCTTGCAGGCTGTGCTGCTTCACTACCCTTGCCTGGAGCAGTGCTGCCAGCTTCTCCTGCCTCTTCGGAGCAATGCAGGGACAAGAGCCAGCAGACAGTTTGCCAAAACAGGGATGGTCTAAGAGGTGACAGGGCAGCCAGGACAAAACCCGGTAGGTACAGCTGCTAAACCTCTCCTTGCTTCACAGCCAGTGGCAGGGACTGGGCAGGGTGTAGGACAAGGGTAGCTCTGGGTGGGGGCTGGGTTGATTTTTTTCCTTCCCTCTGGTTTTCCATAGTTGTAAAGGAAAAGTGCCTAGCTGTTAAATATAAAAAAAAAGGATTTTTTTTTTTGTAATTAAAATGCAGTTTCCATTTTAGAGGAATACTACTTCCATTCAAAAATTTTTCTGCCTTTTGCTCAAACCAAGAGGCTGTAAAAAGGCAGCATAACCAAGGACCTCCTGGTTACTTAGTGTGAGCATAGGAGAAGAGATGAGCCAGCCTGCCTTGGGACTTAATCCAGGCACGTAAGATAATCAGAGCCCAGGAGGGACCGCAGCATTGCTCCTCACTTCTCCTCCGTGGTTGTATGCCATTTCAGCCCAGATGATAGCCTCCAGGGTAGAGCTAGGACACCACTTTACCTCCCTGTGCTGCTGGCATTGATCTTTGCCTCCAGCCACCACCAAGTGGCTTTTCCAAGTGGCCACCTGGGATGCAGGGCCTGCAAGTTCTGCTCTGTCACTTGAGCATTAGGCAGCGCAGAGGTGTATAGGAGAGGAAGCCAGCAGGACACTCCTGGGTTTGCCCTCAAGATCTTGAACAAGCCACAACTGACAGAAGAATATTAAGTTTATTAAACAATGTGCCCCTTGTAGAATGAGTACAAGCATGTCCCCTCAGTAGGAAGGTAGCCACCATGACATGACACTACAGCAGAAAGCTTGAGACCAGCTGCTAGCCCTCTTCTGTTAGATCACTGCCTTCACTTCTCAAGGCTTTCAGAGTAATGACCAAGTAGCTGATTTTTTTCAGTAACTAACTTCTCTGTTGCTGGTGGAGGTGGTACCCACTCAGTCCTCAGGCAGGGGCAAGCAGTTTAGAAACATTAGGAATAAAAAAAATCAGGAAAAAGTGTGCAGAGATCACGTTCCAGATCGATGAGAGAAAGGGAGCTGATGCAGCCCTCAAGTCAAAAGGAGACTGACTGATTAAATACAAAAAGGTTAAAGATGCTCGCTGTGTGGTCGCAGGCCCTGAATAGAGAAGATTCTTCTCTGCCCTTCCCCGCCCCCCCAGGAATGCGGGGCATTCACATGCAAACGCTGCTGATGCCTCGCTTCGGCAGGGCCCACCTCCCCCGGCAGCACCCGACGGTCCCTGGGGGCTGGATGAAGGATGCGGGCGTTGTTCCC